TAGCAATATCCCAGTGCAACAAATTGAAATTATTTTTTAATTAAACACATTGATCTTCCTATCGCATCTGAGACCTGCATCCTGAAAACTACAAACAGAAGAAAATAGGGGCTTTCGAAATGTGGGCCTACAGAAGAATGCTGCGTATTTCATACACAGAACATCGGACCCGCAAAGTCTCAATTCTAAGGCAGCTGACAGTTAACACAAGACTCTCAACCAAAGAAGAACAGATGGACTTAAAAAATCATAATCGAAGAGAACATTCATGACAACATTGACAACCGCCCAAGAAAAAGGTCTCCGATGCGTTGAGTGGACCAAACAAGAGAAATTATTAGTCACGGTCTGCAAGAGACTTTTCTAGTCGCTCAAGATAGAAAGGGATGGAGAAAAACGATCTGCGCAATTGAGACATAATGTCACCATACTCTTTTGAGAGTTAACGGACGAGAAGAGAATAGGGATCTATTTGGATACTCTATGATTTAATTAAACTAATAACTAATAATAATATAAATTGCGAGGAATTGCTGACAAGGATCAAAGCGTAAACATGATCGCAGTCGTGAATTTCTTGGTGTATTTCTATATTATGACTAGGATTTTCTGTCGAGGCGAATAGCTACAGACTAGCGTAATACTAGATTACCTAATTGTTGACGACTACTGATATAGAAATTTTCTTTGACATACAGCATTTTTTTTCTCGTAGTAATTCTGGTTTAAATTCATTTCGTTAAGCCAATATTACTACTGCCGGGAAACCGTCCCATTACACACTGAAAATAATATAATATAATAGGAAAACGTTTTCTAGATAACCTACATCTATTCTTATAGCACTTATCAAAGTACTATATAATATATAGTACTGAACCAAAAAATATCTTTTTCTTGGCTTGTTCGTGTATATCAGTCACATGGACTAATTAATTTTAAGGAAAATATGTAACTATTTTTTTTTCCTAGGCATCGATCACCAGGATCATTAGCCATATACAACTCGTTATTGTTAACAATAATACCAATTACAGGGATCTATCTCAATATTCTCAAGGGATTCAATCTTACAAGGGCAATTCAAAATTTATAAAACTACATTGACATATACATTTCAAATTGAGTGACAAAAGGATAAAAAACTAAACACAAAAAAAATAGACAACAAAAAACAAACAATATAAAAAAAATCAAATATTTTCCGGTCATTTCAGCCTCGTCTCAGTGTTGTTTTAATTGTAAAATGTGAACGGTGTATTTGGATTAGTTTTAATTGTATTTGTAGGTTATGACGACCTTTTTATTATTTGTTATTTATTTAGGTTCTTTCTTGTTAGGTCTGATGATGCTGGTATATGAGCGAAACACGTGTAACAGTTAACATTGTATAAACGTTGAAACCGAGACTTTGAGTCTTTTTTCTACTTTTTTAAATTGAGAAAAATGGATGCCTTCTTTAAAAAACAAACAATAAGAAAAATAGGTAATTATTTATATCACAGTATCACAGTTGGATTTGAGAATCACAGACGAGTATCACAGTTGGTGGTATATATTAATATCTTTCATAAATTTCAAAATAATTTTAATTTTTTCTTCTTCAGTTAAATTATCACGAATTTCACCACGTATATCGGATCTATTTCTTTCTACCGTATATTGAGGACATTGACATATAATGTGAATTACTGTCAACTCAACATCACAGACTATACACATTGAAGGTATTTCTCTGTTAAGCAGATATGCATGAGTCACCGCAGTATGCCCAATACGAAGATGATGCACTCTGGATTCATCCGCTCGTCCTAGTGCAAGACGTAAGGATGGGGATGACGGATCCTGTTTTATTGCGCAAAGCTTTGAAGGTGCACCTGCCCACTCATCCTGCCATTCCCTTTCTGTTCTTTTATGCAGTAGAACTTTAAGATCATATTTACTAATATAATGGAAATCGATGGTATCTCTTCTAGCAGCTTGCCGAGCAGCTTCATCTGCCATTGTGTTGCTAAGTATATTAGTGTGGCTTGGGACCCATACAAACGTGAGTTTGTTTCCCTTTTCGCTGCACTCTCGAATAAGCGTCTGAATTTTTTGTTTCAGAGGATCATGGACAAATATGTCATTAATTTTAGACATCTCTAAAGGGTCAGAAACAATTAAAACTCTAGATTGATTATATTTCTCGATGATATAGGATAAGGCTTTCCAGATCGCAAAATGTTCTGTGAAGCTGAGGCTTCATGTCTCAAAGTCCATTGGAAATCTGACCCGTTGGTAATAATTGCACATCCAGCACCAGTTTGTGATCTGTAACTATTATCTCTACCATTTATACTTATTATAACAAATTAAACTAAAATTCAAGCTTTGTTCTTAACTTGCTTAACAGACATATGAAATTTTGATAATTATGACTTTTTGTCATGGCAACTATAATGTTATAGTGTAAATTGTATTGAAAATATGGGTAAAAATAGAAAAAAATTGGAATGAATCACAAACTATTAAAAATAGGTATATGATATACTTAATAAAAGTTGATGAGTTTTGTGAAATATATCAGAAAAAATGATAATATATAGGGTGTACCATTTAAAAAATTTGAAATTTATTAATTTTTAGCAGTTTTTTTTGGAGTAGTAAATTTTAAGTACTTAAAAAATTCATAAATATATTTTGAACACCCTGTAGCATCTATCTTTATATACATCTTTTTCTATATCTCTATAAAATTATTCTACTAAATTTTAGTTGTCTAACCTCAGAAACAACCGCATTACTGACAATTTTTACCAACTGCAATCTAATATTTGTTTAACAAATTTAAATATTACAAAAACTATTAATTAATTAAATTAAAATTAATTTTACGTATATAACATTATATATAAAAAATTATGGAATTTTACGCAGAATCTAAAAATAAAATTAAAAATAGGATGTTGCATTTAAAAAAAACATATATTATATTCGCCACACTTCTTTGAAGCACCCTGTACACTACTAATAATTAAAATGTGTATCTTAACCGTCCCTATAACTTTTATATTTAACATTTTTTGTAAACCTCGAAACAAATGAGATAATGGACTTTACTCTATCGTTGACTCACCCTGTACTTGGTCAGTTGAAACACTGGAAGAGCGTTTTGCATCTGCTGTCGTCAGATGACATAATTGTTAACATGGTTAGCGAAGCGCGCGCCCAGCGCAAAAGTAAAGTGTTTTGGTGTATTATGGCTCATTAGTGTTTTATTTTACTTCATCAAAAATGGTTTCTTTATATATTATGTTTATTATTTTTTGTTTTATGTTAAAATATAAAAGATCTTCTTATAAATTTCGCAAATAAAACACCATCATGTGAAAAGTTCTCATGTATAGGTAGGTAGGTATAAAAATCAATGATAACTTAGTAGTCGCGATTTTAAGAGCTTTAGGGGTCCGGTGCCAATTCAACAGTAGGGGCACGCCGTTATATGCATATTTTTTTTCGTTCGTAAGGGCCCGGGAAGCTTGAGGACTGTCGCGTCGCGTTGGGCGTCGTTGCCTTACCCCGATTGCACCGACGCCGACGTTAAAATGTGCTGTGACTTAGCTATTTAGGAGTATGAAATATTGCCCAAAAATACATTAAGTGACGTAGTTAAATACTAGGTGATATTTAAAGATTTGTGTAGTAAATGTTTGTATGAAAATTTGTAAATCATTTAGTCCAAAATTATTAAATCTTGAACAAACAAATGTTTAGTACTCAAAGCGTATATTTAATATTCTTTTTTTAATAGAACGAGGGTGGATTATTAGCATATCTGAAAAAGAAACATTTTTTACGGAAAATTTGGTTTCACATATTTGGAGTGAAATTGTCGTTAGATTGTCATGAAAATATCAAAAGTTTTTATATGATTGAGAATGCCATTTTCTATCAAATGCAGTAAAAAAATACTGAGCCTATACCATTTAAAAATCAAAAGTTGATTGAAATTGAAAGAAAGTAATTGAATACGTCGATCAATCCCCATTTCTGTCATACCAAACCTCTTTTTTATCTAAAAAAATTAAAAAAGTATATATATATATATATATATATATATATATATATATATATATATATATATATATATATATATATATATATATATATATATATATATATATATATATATATATATATATATATATATATATATATATATATATATATATATATATATATATATATATATATATATAGTAAAAAATGAAAATCTCTAATATCTAATTGTTGATAGTTTTTTTTTGTCAGTTTCATTGTAACTTAAACACCATGCAGTGTAGGTCTGTTTTGTCCGTCAAATTTTATAACTGAAAGTATATTATTGGTGTAATGAATGTGTATATTGTAAGATACGACTGACTTTTAGTTTTGTAAGTATAATTTTTGTGTATTTTAATTGATCCATTCTTATGTTAGAATTTTTGACTTTGTAGTATATCTCCTGATGAAGTAAATAAAGATTTACGAAATATTGAGACATAAACAAATAAGTTTTTGAGTCACTGACCGCCAACCTGAAAATAATCCAAACAATCCTATATATATATATATATATATATATATATATATATATATATATATATATATATATATATATATATATATATATATATATATATATATATATATATATATATATATATATATATATATATATATATATATATATATATATATATATATATATATATATATATATATATATATATATATATATATATATATATATATATATATATATATATATATATATATATATATATATATATATATATATACTATATATATATATATATATATATATATATATATATATATATATATATATATATATATATATATCTAAACCAGTGCTGTTGTACGATATTCCCTTCAGAATAATTTAAATTTGTCATAATAGCGCAAGGTGTGATACGCATTTTGTACCATTCTACATTAGGACTTTATTGTTTCAGGTCTCAAAGCCCCGCTCACTTATCGCGCTGGGAACAAGTACAGAAGGAAGTGGCAACCAGTGGCACTTATCAGCTCACCGAAACCGAGCTTATTTACGGCGCAAAATTGGCCTGGAGAAATTCGGTCAGGTGTATAGGGCGAATTCAGTGGTCAAAATTACAGGTACGTTAATTTTATAATACCTATATAATAGTCAACTTTTAAATAGAGATTATTGCAAATTTAATTTAAAAATAATAAAATTTTTTTGTTTAATTAATAGTTTATATCAAATATTTAATTAATCTGAATTAACTTGTAATTGCATAATACAAAAACACAACCTGTATAATTTGATTGAATTCGTATAGTTATGTTAAAAAGATATTTGCATTACTATTGCCCCAAACATAATATAAATAAAAGAGATACAACAATGTATTGTTCCTCAAATACAAATGAAATGAAAATCACGCTGTATATTATATTATATTCTAATTATTTCCTTCTAGTATATACGAATATAACTTTATACATAAATGTCACCATAATTTTAAATTTTTGCATATTGATATTTAGAAAGGTAATAAAATTTGTAGATTTTATTTTGGATAGAGCCTATTCCTATATAATTGGTAATTTATATATACTTTTATTACCAATAACGTAAACTTTTATAACAAACCCCATATTTACTGCTATAGAATTATGAAATGTAAAAGGCTGAGTAGTTAATATTTTATCAATTCATAGTTTTTTATAATACCGATTTATTTTATTTTATATCTGCCGATGTTAGCCGCACATCAAAATTTCAATAGGTAATTTTATATTTTTTTAGATTATCAGTAACACAGCTTACTCAGTACTAGCTGCTCATATTCTCATGTTTTGTGTACAATAGGTGCAGGGTATAACAGCATAGGTACAATTTCAACAACCCATAAATTACTAACATTAACTAAGCCACTACTAATGTTTACGCTGACAAAAGAATCTTTTAGCTGAAAATAGCGTTGAAAAAGACGCGAATATACGACAAAACGTAACTTTTTCGAATGCACGATCGTTTATTTATTTTAATTTGAGTGTGTTGAATCCAAAAATAAATTTTTCATTGATATCTAAATAATGTTGTCTTTTATAGAAATTGATTAAATGAATTTTTAATTTAAAATGTATAGCTATTTTAAGCTATATGTTTACAACATTCACTAAAATTATGTAATTTAAATATAAAAATTGCTGAAAATTATACACAAAAAACATGTTTCTTGTTTTAATTTCTTCTCTTCTTTTTAGCGTTCCGTACCTCTAACGGAAATAACGAAACCCTTATAGTATAGGATCACTTTATTGTCTGTCTGCCAAGACCCTTTATCTCGGGGACGCGTGGAGGTATCGAGTTGAAATTATAACAATATATTAAGGTCTACAGTTGAGGGTCTATTTTTCATCTGGTCGGGCCCTAAGGCCCAAGCAAAAATTCGGGCCCTCTTTTCCAATAAAATTCAAGAAATTATGAATATTTTATAACCTTTAACGGGCCCCCCAGACCACCGGGCCCAAGGCCCGGGCCTTATGGGCCTTATGGTAAAATAGGCTCTGCTACAGTTCCTTGAAGCTGCGTAAAAATCTAACTTCTAAGTTAACGTAAAAATAAGATACGGCCGTATATGCCGCAAAAAAATATACAGAGTCGTCCGAATTGTATTCTTCGAAAACATATTCTCCAACATGTCATATAGATTAAAATAAATAAAAAAGTTTGTATAAATGTATGTTTTTAGTAATTGATGTCTGGTCCTTAACATTTTAATATAAACAAATTTATTTTCGATCTCAACATGATTGCTACTTGTAGAGGGCGCCACCTATATACATATGTGTTTTAACTGTTTTGAATAGTAATCACTTTTCGTCCTTACCTGTTAACTAATGGCTGAAAAAATATACATTTCCGTCATTTTCCACGAAAAAAATCTCTCTTAGAAAAAATCGCTATGAACAACCATTCTCAAGATATTTAGAATGGAAAGTACCAATACATGTCATTATTGACAAAAAATTAAACATATTGAGTAGATAGTTATTTGTAGCAAAATGAAAAAAAAAATGATTTGACTGAAATTATGAATTTGGAAACTTTTTTATATTTATTTCGATAAAATTAAAATAAAACAGTTTCTGTTGAACTTTTAACACAAAAATATTTCAAATTTATTATTTCAGTCTAATAACTATTTAGTTAGCATGTTTAATTTGTGTCAATTATGACAGGTATTAATAATTTCGATTCCAAATATCTGGAGAACGATTACTCGTAGCGATTTTGACCAAGAAACTTTTTTTACGTAAAAAACCTCGTATATTTTTTTATTCTATAGTTTTATACAGGTACGGACGAAAACTTATTACTCTTCAAGACAGTGGAAAAAAATATGTAGGTGGTGCCCTCTACAAGTAGGAGTCATATTGATCAAAATCAAATTTCTCTCAATAATTTCTCATGTCAAAAAATTCCCACACACCAATTCTCATTCAAATATGGATGATGTATCTCCGAAACATTTTAGGACATACATTTATAAGAACTTTTTTATTTATTTTTATCTGCAGAATATGCTGCCGAAGTCTCCCGAATACATTTTTTCGAAATACAGGGATCACCCTGTATACAAAAAATGCTTGAGGTTGACATTGAAGAACCTTCATAATGAGTTGACAAAGTTTTTCGTGTGTTTTTATTATTCCATATCTTAAATTATAAAATAACGATTTTTTGCTTGAGTGGTTTTGGCATGAATTTTGCAGAACAATTCAATCATGAGAACAGTTACTCCTAATGTCGACATGACGTTTAAGCATTGATAACTGGCACTGCTCTCCTATGTTCCAATATTGAATACATCAAATTAAATATAGCACCTTAAACAATTATTTAAAGCATTTTGCAGAAAAATTTAATGCAGTCATATTGATTGAAAAATGTTAAATGATACAGGCTGTTTAAAAAGACATGTACCATTGTCGAATTCGGCCTGCTTGATGAGATAAACGCAATTTTATTAATCACAATTAATACAATTAAAATAAAAATAAAATTAATAAACTATATATTTTACCAGTTTATTATTAACTATTATTACTATTAGTCTAACCTACAGCAATTTCAAATAAAAAAATAATGGTATTTATTACAAAAAATCTAATTTTAAAAAGTCTTAACAACCTGTAACTCCAAAACTATGCATTTCCATACCCATGTTTATACGAACTTGTTTTCATATTTTTTAATGAGGAATCAACGAGTACTTATTTAAAACTTGTTGTTATTAGACTTGGATCAAGGCAAATCAGTAAAGTAGCGTTTATCTCATCAAGGAGGCCAAAATCGACAAAATATTAAGAGACAACTTTTAATCGGCATTAAACTTCTTACACTATTTCGCTAACAAGAGAAAAGTCAGTGGCGTACATACTGTTATTAGAAAAATATTCCGGCGATAAACAATATGCACGTCCCTGGTGAATATGTCGACACCCCTTATTTAAAGTGTGCCGTATTTATAGTAACTTCTACACTCAATATTTCATTTGAAACGCTAGAAGTACTTGGAAGAAAATAATGATAAATCGAAAAAATATTAAGACTTTAGCACCATGTAGCTACGAAACAAAGCAGAATCGGACCTATGTTGATATGAAAAGAAGCTAATTTTTACGTAAGGAATCTCCCCACGAGAGATGGCACAGGTTTTTTGAAACACCCTGTATAAAAATGTTCAATTGGCAACAAATTTTATAGTTTTTTTACTATTCTAGCATTGAAAAATGACGCGTTAATAAAAATGTCATAATCTCATTACAATTTATTAAATTTTATTGTTGTAACACACGCGGTTTATCGGTAATATATTTTAATAAGACCTGTGCCAAAAAAACCGCCCCTAGCTCTCCACAGGTGGAACAAAGCTAAAATACTTGAAAAGGATTCCATAACATATTTTTTACATGTTTTGCATTTTCATCATTCATACGTTTTTCATACTCTTTGTTTTAAGAGAAATAATACAAAGAATTTTGTTGGCACCTAACAGTATAATAGATATTACAATTTATGGTACATAAAGTATGTGGGATTGTTTTATTCTAAAAAAATATGTCACTAACATGTACAGAAGATAAAAAGAATTAGAAACAATACAGGAACTTCAAAGAGTATTTTATTGATCTACATTCTAATAAAATAAACAATATTTAAATTAAAATAATTTTGAAATATTTATTATAAATTGAATTGGCTCGCAGTAGTATAGGCTTGGTGCATTTTAGTTGATTTCATAAAATTCCGACCGCAGCGCTGTATACGACAGAAATCAGAAATTTTTGCTATGTATTTCACGCCATCCCGATTACATTCCAGGGTGTTTGGAATAATAAATTTTATCGTTTAGCTGAAATCAGTTATTATAAAAAAATCTTTAAAAAGCTACTGTGGACCACGGAAAACACAAATTTTTCTGCGGAAATGCGTAATTTCCAAATTTCGCACTTTAGAATAACTGAAATCTGCTATAAAAAAATTACATTTTGCGTTTTAATTTTAATATTTTTCTGAACATATAAACACAAAAATTTTCCTGCGGAAATAAGCTGTTTTCATTTTCTAAGGAAATTTATTAGACTTTAGAATAGCTGAAATCAGCTATATAAAAAATAAATATATTTTTTCCTTTTAGAAGCATTCACGAATTGAGAAAAATAAAAATTTTCCTGCGGAAAAAAACTGTATCCATTTTCTGAGGAAATTTAATAGACTGTAGAATAGCTGAAATCAGTTATATAAAAATAAATATTTTTTGTCTTTTAGAAGTGTTTACAAACTCAGGAAAATAAAAAAATTTCATTTTCCATTTTTGTAAGCATAATAAATTATCTTTTTATCGCTTTTGAACCAAAAAATATCATTTAAAAATGTCTAAATTGATAACGAATCTAATAATAAATCTAATAATATTTTTACAAAATCACAGTTATTGATTAAAATATAAAAACCACAGCTCAACACCCTCCACAAAGAAAAGCTAACCAAAGCAACCCAAATTCTAACCAATCTAATAATATTTTTACAAAATCACAGTTAATTATTAAAATATAAAAAAACTGCATGATTCAATGAT